TTCCTGGGAATCTCCTGCCTCCTTAGCAGTGCTAAGGATGTCCAACTACAGCTTAGGTCTGCTCCCTGCTGGCAAGTGGGCATCTCCTGAGGGCTGCCGGGCTGCCAGAGGGATTTCTGATTGCCAGCTTAGGCCCAACCCCCTGGGGAGCAAGCCTAAGCCAGCAGGTAGTCATCCCCCGAGGGGTCCCAGACTGATCGAGGGCACGGGCCGGGCTGAGGGCCCCTTCCCCCCCAGTGCACAAATATTTGTGCACCAGGCCTCTAGTTATTAATAACGAACTACAACGTTTGCTAATGACTGACTACTATAATCGTGCTGCATTAATTTCCCTTACACACCGGCGCACCATTTCTCTACACTAATACTAGCATCGAATATTTTAGCAGCTGATTGCCATGTCATTAGTCTTGGACTGACTTGTTTGGTGTGTGCAACAGGCAATATTTTGCTTTACTAGCATCGAATATTTTAGCAGCTGATTGCCATGTCATTAGTCTTGTACTGACTTGTTTGGTGTGCACAACAGGAAATATTTTGCTTTCAGAGAAAAGAAAAATAGGTTTATTTGTGTTACGCTTATTAACTTCTGCAATTATTCAGTGTCTGGTAAGTTAATGTTCAAGAAAAAATATTAATTTTTACTAAAATGTTCTATTGTTTTATGTTAACGATTACTCATTTATTTCAGCCCTTTGTATTCAGCATGTCTCTATCGAAATAAACCTACGTTTCTATGAAAATGGAAGCTTTTGTTTTTTTGTGGCCCACATAAACTTAAACCTTGTTTATTTGGCCCATCTTAGCCTTTAAGTTTGACATGCTTGTTTGAAATGGTCATCAATGTCAGGTCATGGATTTCAATTTGGGATTTAGGAAACATAGCCATATAAATAGACTCTACATTATGGATTTGAAGATGGGTGGAGAATCTCACATAGAAAATAAAAACATAAAGTCTCTTAAAACAAACAAACAAACAAAACAGGCCAGCTGGAATGGCTCAGTAGTTGAGAATTGACCAATGAACCAGGAGGTCACAGTTCAATTCCCAGCAAGGCACATGCGGGATCGCGGACTTAATCCCCAATAGAGGGCGTGTAGGAGACAGCAATCGATGATTCTCATCATTGATGTTTCTATCTCTCCCTCCCTCTCCCTTCCAATCTCTGAAATAAATAAAAACATATTAAAACAGTGACTTTAAAAAATTTTCCTACATTCCGATGTTGCTCAGTATGTTCTAGTAGTTAGTCGGAATCAAGCAGTAAGCAAAATACACAAAATCCCACAATCCACTGATAACCATTTTGTTAACATTTTGGTTAAATGTGTTCCAGACATACATTTTTGTAATATACATATGCATGTACACATAATTTTATAAAATAGAACATTTCATGTTATTTTGCTACTTTTTTGCCATACTCAACAACTAGTTGCAAATCTTTTAATGACCAAACCCAATTCTATATAAATTTTAAGGCTGTGCAGTATTCCATTTAATTGCATCATTCCCAAATTTGTATATGAAAACAATGCTGCCCAGCTGGTGTGGCTCAGTGGTCGCAGTTCAATTCCTGGTCAGGGTACATGTCCCGGTTCTGGGCTCCATACCCAGTGGGGGTGTGCAGGAGGCAGCTGAGCAATGATTCTCTCTCATCACTGATGTTCTACTCTCTCTCTCTCTCTCCCCACCCCGCCCCCCCTTCTGACAAAAGAAAAACAATGCTATGGTGAATGTTCCTATAAATACATTCCTGCATACTTCATTAATTTTTTTAGGATAAGGCATATAAAAATTACTAGAATACTAAAGGTATGTGCATTTTAAGTTTTGCTACACTTTCCCCAATTACAGGTTAATTTTATTTTTACTTTTTGATTAATCCTCACCCAAGGATATTTTTCCACTCATTTTTAGAGAGTGGAAGGGAGAGGAAGAGACAGAGAGAAACATCGATGTGAGAGCGATACATCAAATTGATTGCCTCCTGCACACACCCTGACCAGGGCCAGGGAACCTGTAACCGAGGTACGTGCCCTTTAACGGAATCGAACCTGGGACCCTACAGTCCCCAGGCTGATACTCTATCCACTGAACCAAACTGGCTAGGACAACAGGAGGGAAATTTTTTTTTTTTTAATCAGGCTGCTCTATGCGTGCCACTCACAACAGAAGCCCTTTTTTAGGAGGGGAATTTTAAAGAAATGACAAAGTACATTCAATTCAAGTATTTCTGCATAATCACACCACTGCAGAAGTTCAGTGTTTCAAATGGGAGATCAGCTAAAACCTAATATTTCTGAGCACATTTAGTCCTCAATGATTAAGCAGCATCTCTACATATTTTCCTACAACATTAACAAACATAATTTTGATGGACCACAATAATATATTCACATTTAAGCCTCAAGGCTTCAAATAATCAGGTAAAGGCAAGACTGAATATTTTGAAAATATTTTTTAAATGTCTAACACTAATAGGCTGGGCTGCTTTGACCATGTGACATGCACATACTTTCCCTAATCCTACAAAATACTATCTGAATTTGGTTAATTTACTGAACCAAAAATCATCGCACAATTTATGGGCACTGGTAAGATAACAGTACAATTTATATGCTACACCAATATGGTACAGTTTGTTTTTATTAAATATAAAAACATA